ACCCCCCGGTGGTGGGAGGCCAGGCCCCCCCTAGCAAAATGACCTAGCTACGCCTATGCTCTTCGATCGGGTAACCCTCAATCTTCAATGTAAAAGTTTCAAGTACACTCACTAGGATATCTTGCGCTTAGCTGAGAACTATGTCTGCATGCTAAGGTAGAGGTTATTTTTTTTGTAACTCTGCCTTTAATCCCTGGACAATACGCTCATTTAAAAAAATATATATGCATTTCTCAGTTTTTTTAAGAGTAGTTCTTAATAGTCTGCAGAACGAAGACTGCAGGTTGGATTATTTTTTAAAAGAATCTGTTCAGTGCTCTTTTCCTTAGCATAGCAGCAATACCATGATGGAATTTATTTTTCAAATCTAATACTACTATGAGTAAATGAAATAAATTAAAAAAATCATTTGCTTTCACCAATGCATGTATCGTTTAAGAAGGCGTTTATATTTCGCCAATTTTTTTTTCCAACACATTTTAAGTTTTTTTGTGATTTCATTCGTGTTATGGTACTATCCTAGCCTGGTTTTAATAAAAAAAAAAAGCTGAACCAGATCAAAAATTGATGAAAATAGAGGAGTTTTTACAAAAACCGAAAAATGCGCGCGTTGTCTCTTTTAGGGCAAATTATTTGAGTTTTTTCCACGGAAAAAGGCCTGGAAAAATTTTCATTTTGGCCTGGAAAACCTGGAAAAGTCAGGGATTTTTTTTCCCAAAATTGGCTGGGAACCCTGAACTATTCCGCCACAGGGGTATTGCAGAGTATCAGTCGTAAATGAAGGCGCACTAGTTGGTAATTGAATTGTAGCGTTTATCACTGTGCAGAGCCCTACAGAGTCTGCGCAAAATTAATTTCCTTTTTTTTAAACGCCTTTCTCCGTCATTCAAAGCTCAATGTCGCGCATGAATGCCTACGTAAAATATGTGTGTCGTTGTAGCGACGTAAAGCGACTGGAAAACTGTCGCTAGCAAAATACGCAATGATCGCTATCATATTCATAGCTAAAGTGCATGTTAAGAAACAACTTTTGTCACCGTCAATGTTGTTAAAAACTCGATTTACGATATTGCATAATTGTACGTTTTATTTATCGCAAGAAAACCAAGTAAGATAATCGCGCAAAGTTTGACAAGGCGTTTCCTAGAACACTGCCTGCGGAGCTCATCCGAAGAGTTAGGTATCATTTGGACTGACTTTTGCAATTTGGAACAATAAGTTTTGGCTCTTCTGGAAAAACACTTGTGTGCATAGGGAAACTAATGGCACATACGTTGTTTTTAAACCGGGCTAGAATTTATAGTTCCAAATTTCAAAATGTAGTCCATTTGGAAAATATATATGTGAGAGGAAATATTACGTAATTTATTGTCAAGATTTGATACTTACAGCAACACATAACGATTTGTTGCGCCGGTAAAATTTACTGTTTTGTATCACGTGTGCAAATACATAATAATACGCTTGATTGAACCTACATTTTTTTTGGCTAGAAGCACAGTTACGATCAAAACTGTGCTTTTAATGAGTACAAAATAGCAATGAAAAGTGAAATTGTCAAGAATCTTCTCATTTTCAGCTTTTCCATCTGAAATCTTAAAATTTTTATTTGAGGTTATGTTCCATTGTTTTGAACGAAACGATAGATCGAACCACTATCGACTACCATCCATTAGCGTCCATATGGAAGCTTCGAAAAATATCGTTTAAGATCACGCTCGACTGATCGCGGGCACCACCCCTCCGCCTGGCTCGTGTGGCNGCGGGGGGGGGGGGGGGCTGCGACGAAGTTCCGCCACCGGTTGCTAAGCAACGGGCGCCGGCGGCCAGCACAAACAAACTGAGCCGCATTGTGAGGTAAACACGGCTCCAAACAAGTTAGTAAAAAGTTTTCGGAGTCAACTGGGCTCCCGGCGTTTGAAGTGGAGCAAAGGGAGATTCTCCTTTGTTTTTTTCCATCGGTTCGACGGTGTTCGGTGCGATGTCTTTGAAGCACGTCCTCCAATCTTGAGGGGCATGGTTACCTGAACTGTTGATAAGTGCGCGCACTGGATTCCCGGGTGACGACATAATAGGGGAACGGGAACCGTGGGATTCGAACGGAGGTGAGGTGTTTCAAGTACATCATACTACTAGAGTCCCTTTATTCTGAGAGTCAAGACAATGCGAATCCATTTCTGATTGGTTAACCGGATTTTAGGCTTTCACAGTGTCACAAACGGGAATAAAGATTACATTTTCACCAATTGCAAAGATTATAATCTGGAATGGACCGAGGAATTTCTGGTTCGACAAGGAACAAACGGAATGAGAGAAGGAACGGAGAAAGGAATTTAAGAATGAGCCGATCAAAGATTACGAAAAACGTTCAATGTGAGTAATCTTTATTCCCGTTTGTGACTCCATGAGGGGTGTTGTCTTGACTCTCAGTATAAAGGGACTCTAGAGTACATCATTCTACGATCTCCGTCTTTTGATGTGCATTCAAGGAGGGTGTCAGCTTCGATCAGAAAATCAAAATATGACACTTTTGTAAGGTTTGTGTGGGTGGTTTCACGATAACTGGAATAGTTTTGTCGCCGTAACAGACAACACATTTTTCGGTCATATTTTTTGTAGTAATGATAATCACCCGAATTTTTTTTCATTAATCTACACAGGGTTACGTAAAGTAACGCTTTCTAATGATTTATTGCTCCACTTCTCAATTAATATTATGTAAATTCTTTAAATGAGCTGTCTGTTACGCAGTGAAAAGACAGCGTAACAGGCAGCACATTTTAGATACCATTTAAATATTAAAATTGAAAAGTAGAGCGATAAATCTTTAAAAAGCGTTGTAACACCTAACCCTGTGTAGACTAATGAGAAACAATTCGAATGATTATCATTACTACAAAAAATTAGTTTTAGCTTAGCGAGGTCTATAGCTTTGTCTATCAATTTCAATAATCAGTCCGCCGCTCTTTATACAATTCTACGCTTTCCAGATCTCATGTGGAAATAGAGATACGCCCTTTTTTCAGAGGAGCGACGATATGCGGTTTTAGTAAATTTCGTCATGAACAATTACTAAATAAAAGCGCCCTCCCTTCTTCTTTCTTCCTTCATTTTTTCTTCCTCCTTCTTTTTTTCTTCCTCCTTCTTTTTTTCTTCCTCCTTTTTTCACGCGATCGCGGAGAGCGTACATCCGTGCTGAGGAAAAACGCCGTATGAACTTTCGAGAGTTGCCAAACCTCCGATGAAATGTGCCTAATAAATATTATTTTTAAATATTTTTCCTTGAAATCTTCAGGAACTTTAGGCGAAGTTGCGAATAAAATAATCTGAAAAAAAATTGGAAGAAAAAAGATCATAAGTTTTCTCAAAAATGTTTGTTTAATCGAAGGAAATTTGGCAACGCCTGAAGATTCGTACGGCGTTTTTCCTTAGCAAGGCAGCGTACTCCTCCCTCTTGGATCCGCTTATGTCATAGAGTCGTGTTTTGATGGTTTGAGCATATGAATTAGCAAAATTAACAAAAAAGAGTATCCAAATGCAAAATTTCCAGGTATCTCCAATATTAAAAGAAATATGGCCCTTCGAAAAAATGACGTATGATGTGATCTAACGAGGCAAGGCATGGGCGGTTTCTTCCACCCTGGTTTCATCCGTGTTTTGAGTCGAGCAAGCAGTGCGAATGTGTGTGACACTGATAGAGCCGCACAAGCATAGAACCATAGAATCGCATACACCAACACATTAAATGGCGGACAATGATGAGCAAATCAAGGATGGTCCACGGGGGAGATCAGCGCCAAGCGACGCTGACATCAACTTTCGACACGTTGTCTTCCCGGGTTCCGATGTCTTCTACAAACCAGGTAGGTAGTAGAGTGAGTACAGTACCTATATGGGAAGAGTATGGACCGAAAATTCGGTGATTTGGAGTTTAGGTCATGGAGCTCTTAGGCAGGGACGAATAGAGACCTACCATTGGCCTCTTGGTGACAAGTGAAAACATTTACTTTCCGGCATTCAACACTTTCCACGTGGACAATAAGGCAGCGACAGTCATCGCATTTTTTTTGGCTGTTGACATACCTACCATGGATGATGAGCTCCAGGTGACGTCATGAGCCAAACAAGTTTGTGAAACGAAAAAAAAATGTCTGCAGCAACACTCATAAAAAATGGCTGCCCTCTATTATGTTTAGCTCTGAATGCATCCGTGACTGCAAAAATATCCAAATTCAAAGTACAGGGGGACTTTCAAAGAATGCTATACCTTTCACACATGCAGTAAAGAATTCGGAAGCCCCATCGATCTTAGAACTCTCCCTTTAACTTAAGATATGGATAATTTGATGCATGGATGAATCGAGTGCTAAAAATTAAGGGGCCATTTTACATTAGCTGTATTTTGTATTTCACGTGAGTTGATTGGTTCGATACCGTTACCAAAATGCAGAATAGGTAAATCATGATTTTCCCAAAAAATTTTGAGGAGGAGCCATAGAGCTCCGACTGGTGCACAGTCGGTGAAAAATTTTATCCAGAAAAAAAGTCTTATTTTGACCCATAAAATACGCTCCTATAGTCTGACCGCTTAAATCAGATTCGAGTTGTTATATCCTTTGCTATCTTTTTATTTTAGGAGACGAAATCGTCACGAACCTACCCCTGCAGATGGCGCTTTACTTCAACGTTGTGTTTTTCCCGTTTTGGTTCATTGTTATGATCACAATGTTGTATCTGAAGGTAAGTAATCTATCTAAAAATTTACTAGAGCTGTCTGACAATATTCATCAAAGAGAAGCTATAGCCCATTGAAAATATTATAATTTAACTTCAGAGAACTTTTATTTTGTAAAATGGGGTTTTTCCAAGCAACGGTTGTTCTTTCCTTGGCTCAGTTATTTATTTCATAATTTTTTGTGAGTGCGTGCCTCCAACGAAGTAAATTTTTTCAATAACTCAAATACTCACGCCAAATTACAAATTTGAACCGAGTCAAACCCAGTGTGTTTGGTGATCCCAAGTTGCTGCCTTGACTGCCCCTTTAATTAAATTGACATGTCGTGAATGCAAATTTAACTGCGGGGGCAGTAAAAGCAGCATCTTGGGATCACCAGACACATTTGTTACATCCTAGGTGCTGAAACAGCACATTATTTTTTTCAGTGTGCTCTATAAAATAATTTACAGGATTATACAAATTGAATAAGCTCTGAAAGGATTTCAAAATAAGGAGACACGTACACATTGAAACGCCACGATAAGAATTATTTGAATTCTACCAGCGTTAACGAAACTAAAATCTATAACATTTACTGTGTACGTCATCCTATGCGCAAAGTTCAACCTGACTGTGCTTTTCGAAAGTGTCCCCTTTTTCGAGAGCCCGGAAAATCAAATTAAACGTGGTTTGAATGATACCTCGAGATAACAATAGACTCTATAAACATTTTTGTTCATGAGTTGAAATTTCGTTTTGGAAGTACAGCAATACAAAGTTAGAATTTTCAGCACACCTGCTGGCACACCCCAATCCTAAACTCTGTGAAATTTGTGGTGCGGAACCACCATAACCACCTTTGAAGTCAAGCTATAACTTTTACCAGAAGAGGCTTGTGTCAGTTGTGTGTTAGGTTTCATTTCAGTAAAGTGTTGATGAAGTCCTTCTGTTACCCAAAGAATAGCAAGAGAGGGTGGCTATTGAGAGGATTTTTTCTTGGTCTAAACGCATATTCTGCCGTGCCAAAGAAAAAAGGCCGTATGGACATTCAAAAGTTGCCAAATTTCCCGGATAAAACTTGTATTATTGAGAAAAGTTATTCATATTTTCCCTAGAAATTTTCAGATATTTTAGAGCGAGTTGCGAATACAATTCAATGAAAATTTGTAGGAAAAATCTTAACATGTTTTTTTTTTGGAAAATTCATATTTCATCAAAGCGAAGGCAACATTTGAAGGCTAATATGGCGTTTTTCCTTAGCACGGCAGTATTGTCCCAGTAAGATGTATAACTCTGCTTATTTTTTTTTAGTACGATTGCTTGACGAGTCTATTCCAGTTCATCTTGGTAGCGGCGTTTATAACAGTCACCTGCATAGAGTGTTTGAGACTCTACCTTGGATACGTCGGAAATCTAAGCGAAAAGGTACGAATTTATGATTAACGGGTCGAAACCAGGTGATAAAATTCCGGTGAAACGCGGATCACTAGAAGAATGAAAATGCTGCTTTAGCATCCAAAATATCAAATAGTGTCTGGTGATCCAAAGATGTTGACGGGATTGCTCTCGTAGTTACGTTTGCAATCCTAGGATGTAAACTTAATGACAAGAACCTTTATGCATTTAGGGATCACCAGAGACATGTTTAACACCTGTAGTTCTATATTAGCATTTATTATTTTTTTTTGTTTTTTGATGAGTTCTTGGGATAAAAATTTGGTGCTGTCCGTAAATTGTGGCTTGACAAAGAGGACCAGAGCGCCCGCTATCTCGTTTGAATGCAACACGGTTATACCTGAAGCGCTATGGGTTGCATTCAAGCGTTGCGATTTTGAAAGCAAGAGCGCCTAAAATGTTGTGTGTATGCAACACGGACATCCTATAAGCACGATTAGTTGTATTCAGAAATTGCCATTCAACAAATCAAGGATGCAGTAAATCACATGTATTAAGTCTCTTTAGAAAAATCGGATATTTGTGACCTTTCCAAGAAAATAGAACCTAATTCCAGGGAAGATTTAAAATTTCTTTCGTCATGTCACCTGAGTGGGGTTATCTTGAGCATTTTCTCAAATTCTCGAAGTATCGTCCTCTAATTTTGAAGCGTAAGGGTAAAATTTTGGAAATTTTCCAATGGTATTCGCACCAGATGTTACAAAAGTAACCTCTGAGACCTGAGCTATAGTTAGTCAATTTTCAGTTTTCTTCTTAATATTGGGCCGCGATTAGCATCAAGGAACCAAGCCGCATTAGCTATTGCCAAATTTAAAGGAACGACTTAATTTTTTTCAAGAGAAACTATGTGCGGATTCCTTTGAAAATTTTAAGGAATTTGCCTCGTACTATGTATGCAGCAAATTCACTGAAATTTGCGCGAAAACCCGCACAGCCATTTTGATGTAAAACAAAAAATTGCCCAGTTTAAATTTGGAAATTGCTGATGTGGCTTTGTTCTTTTCTGCTAATCGCGGTCCAATATTTATAAAGAAAATTGAAACTATAATAACTATAGCTTTGGTCTTCGATGTTACTTTTGTAACATTTGGTGCGAAATCCATTGGAAAAGCTCCGAAAAGAAGACGATCCTTCGGAAATTTGAAAAAATCCTCAAGATCATCCTACCCAGGTGATGTGACTGAATGAAGCAATGTTAAAAGTTCCCTGGATTTAGGTCCTATTTTAATTAAAAGGTCACAAATATCCGATTTCTCATCATTATTACCCGAAAAACCCTTACACTCACCTCCACCATGAATACCAAATACCCCTCATAAAAAGTGGCAAAGCTGCGGGGATGCTCTGGGAGCCGGGATTGGCGCTGGGAGAGGTTGGCGAAGGGGTGGGGGGTGGAGGCTTACGCCGGTCGAGATGTGTCAAAATCCGAATCGGCGAGAGACTAACAAAGGCGATTTAGCGGATATCAACTTATTAGCGCTAATGAGGATTCGCTCAGTTGCAGAATATCCGGCGGCGAGGCCCGGCACGGCGAGGCGCATCTGCGGCGGGCATCGCGCACCGATGACGGCCCAGAGCCGAGCTAAGTCCAACCAAACCCTTTCGAGCCACGCTTCGACGGAAAGCGCGCCAAGCGAAGCGAAATGCGCGACCTTCACTGAAAAAAAGAATATTAAGGTGATTCGATGGACGCCATATTTTGTGTCAGAACGGCATGCGATATATCGCATCAATTGGTTCCATTTTTTCAGCTACTCGTCATTTTTCTCCAATTTTGAGATCGCAATTCTGTTGTCAGGAGACCAAAGCACTCACTTACCAATTTTAACAAAGAAATTCAACGCAATGAAGGCATGGTTTTTTTAGAGAGATAATATCACATTCGGGGGCAGTTTCGATATCAGTATCGAATGCGATGTTTTCTCTGAAAAAATCACATCTTTATTACGTTGAATTTCTTTGTTAAAATTGGTAAGTGAGTGCTTTAGTCTCCTGACAACAGAATTGCGATCTCAAAATTGACGAGAAGCTTAAAATATGGAACCAATTGATGCGATAAATCGCATGCCGTTCTGACACAAAATATGGCGTCCATCGAATCACCTTAAGGGAGTGGTATCGATAAGGGTCGTGCTTGGGCCTACCCTGAATTTCCTCAACTTGACGATATTTTGCTCATTGAGGGTCTATATTTTGCGGAATGCATCATGATTTGGTCATTCTTGGTCTTTTTTTGTACTTAATACCGGCCTATACCTATACTATGAGTCTGCAGGTTATTTTGGCGAAAAAGCAAGTTTTGCGGTCAAATGCCGAGAAATTATCATCTTTCGTCAATATCGGCTTTCACAATCAGACTCATATAGACCCTTATTAGGCCCAGGAATGACCAAATAATGATGCACTCCGCAAAATATGGACCCTTAATGAGCATAAAATCGAAAAGTTGAGAAAAAGTAGAGTAAGCCCAAACACGACCCTTATCGATACTCCTCCTTTGCCGCCACGAAAGTTTTTTTAATGAAGTTGTGAAAATTGTAAAGTAACATACCAAGTTGCAATTGATGTTTACCGTCCTTGATTCGTCTTTTCCTTGGTCTTCAACCTCTTCTTCCTCGTCTTCTTCGTCATTCCCTCTCTTTCTTCTTCGTTTACATCTCTTCGTCTCTTCTATCTGCGTCTTCTTGTTCTTCATCCTCTTCGCCTTCGTCTTCTTTGTCATCATTGGTTCTTCCATCATCTTTGGTTCCTCCATCATCTTTGGTTCCTTCACCATCCTCTGTTTCCTCGTTTTTATTTTCTTCGTCTTTGATTTTCCTAGCCTGCGACGGGGACTGCTTTCAATCGTATCCGTCCCTTACACGTTGGTGACGATAATTGCCTTTTCAGTGCCAGGAGGCAATGGAGGCATTCAGGTGTAGAATCACTTCGCTTGGTCGCGGGTTTCATTTCGCGCGAGTATCTTGGCGCCGCGCGCTCTCCGTGGTAGCTCGGCTTTTACGGGGATATTCTCCTTGCCTGCCCCTATAATTTCCACCGTTCGGTGTTGTCACGAATTCTGCGGTTACACCTCAGTGGAGCACTAGCCAAGGTAAAGGCCCTTACTTGCGCACAATCCCCAGCTCATAAGGACCGCGTTTAGCAGAAAGGAACCAAGCCACTTCAGCTATTGTCGAATTTAACTGTGCAATTTAATTTTTTATGAAAGAACCTAGGTGCAAACTCCTTTGGAAATTTTAAGGAATTTATTTCGTACTATGCAAAAAATTCACCGAGATTTTCACCAAAATTCGCAAAAACGTTTTCATGTAAAAACTTAAGTTGCCCAATAAAATTTGGCAATGGCTGACGTGGACTGGTTCCTTTCTGCCTCACGCGGTCCTAATAGGATATTTGGTGTGATTGTGAAGTGTTGTCTCGCAAAACATACTAGGCTGATTTTTGTTAGCTCCAGTATTTGCGTGGGAAAGATCCTTAAAAATTTAACATGACACATTTTTACAACCCACATTTCAAGCATAATACGTCAGATATCCTAAGCATGATCCGAAACAGCACATGAAAGTGATGTTGGCGTTTACTATTCCCATTTGGACTGCATTTTGCAATTTGGAACTATAAATTCTGGCTCTTCTGGAAAAACACTCATGCGCATAGGGAAACTAATAGGAACATACGTTGTTTTTACACCGGACCAGAATTTATAGTTCCAAATTGCAAAATGCAGTCCATTTGAGTTAGAGAATTCAAACGTCTCGGTTACGAAAAAACCACAGAGGACGCACCTCAAACTGGTCATTGTAAGCTACATATCAACATTCCACAAATAATTATACTTTTTCCACGAGGGTTGCGATGTTCTGCAGAATTTTCGATAGGTAACGTTACCGTACAAACACAGTGGCGAGGCATGAATGGTCGATTATCGATGTTTCCCCATTTGAGCTATGGTAAAGAATCGATTATTAAGGTGTTCGTTGCGAACACCCTGCTTATCGATCGTTTTCCATAGGGTTAAATGACACATCAATCGATATATCGCAGTACAATCACTGCGCCGATTAATTTTGCGAGTGATCGCCAATGAAGTTTCCGCAAGGAATGTTTCTTGGCAACGTTGTGTTGGCACTTCAAGACTCACTCGAATTTTGAGATCTGTAGACGCAATTTAAATCGGTTGATTTAACTAAGGTAGCTTTTGAGCATGAGTTGGCGCAGCCAAGCGTAGACGATGAGATTAAGGAAGTCAAAGCCCCTGCAATCTCGTGTGAATGCAACACGCACATCCCTAGAGTTCGAATAGTTGCATTTACGCGTTACGATCAAAAAGCCACGGTGCCTGACATTCTGTGTGGACGGAAGGTGGGCATCATTTGAGCGTCCATAACGAACTTTTCCGCAATGTTTAATTCTTGCATTTTTGAAAAGTAGAAATTGCATTTGATTGATTGGAATTTTTCCAAATTTTTTTAAAAAAAAATTTAAGCTGCCATCGAAACGTGTGTCGGCAGGAAAGCCAAGATGGCGTCCGGAAACCTCTCCGGTTCGAGCGACTTCGACTAAACGCATTCTCTACTTCTCCGAAATTCAAGAATTGAACATCACTGAACATCAAGTTCATCGCATTCAAGAGTTGTTATGAAGAAAAGCAGACCGCCTGCAAGTTAGTGTGCATGCAACCCGCACATCCTTTGAGCACGAATAATTGTATTCAAGTAGTGTAGGTACCTGTATGGGGACAGTAGGGACAAGTCGAAATGTGGAACTCTTGGGCCCAAAAAGGCAGCTAATGCTCTATATTCAGGCAGCTTTTTGAAATAAAACCAAGACGCCTTCGACTTTCAAGGCGTCAAGAATTCTTGCTTCCCTTAAATCGTTCGATTATTAGATGAAATATAGCAACACTGGACACGGAGGCAGGTTTCAAGAGCAGGATCCCAAGCCGACAGAGCAACGAACGACTCATCCTT